ATAACTAGCTAATTTTGTGCCCACAGCAAGATTATAAAATTTCTCCCCCTATACTTTCATAGTAGTTACTTTGGTAGAAAGGTAAATAGAAAGATAACAAGAGTAATGATAACACAACATTTATTTTAGTCTTGATAAAAAAAATTTCTGCACCCATCAGCTTTATGCACCCGAGGCAAGTGCTCCACTTGCCTTGCTCTTGTTACAGATCTGGTGTGTTGGGAACAGTCCACACACATACACACACACACACAAACACACATAGACGTATATGTATATATATACACATACATATATATACATATATATATGTATGTATGTATATGTTTATATATTTAAAAAAGAATTGCCTACAGGACAAATAAGTAGGCAGTGTTCTTTATTTCTGAGAAATTAAAAACAAATAGTGAATGTACAGAAAAAATACACACAGAATATGTATTGACAATCTATACCAGCGACCCCAGCCTTTTTGAGCTTGCAGAAACCTTTGGAATTCTGACACAGGGTGGTATACACAACCACAAAATGGCTGCCAGGGAGGAAGGGCCAATTACAGAACATCAGGGAGTAAGGTTATACAGAACCTTAATAACTTTTTAACATTTCAGACAGAAGCTCTACATAACAAAATGCCTTTTTAAATGTATTGTTTTAAATAATTTTCCTGCTTATATACAGCTTACCTTTGGTCACCCAGTGACTTACCGTGATTCGGCGGGGGACACATACGTCTTCCCAGGAGCATTCCCGCACGGGCAACAGACACGCCGCACCATGCTGTCGCCCAGAAGTGACGCCGGGCGACGCTCTGGCAATGGGGCTAGAAACTCAATGGTACCATCGAGTTTTCAGCACCATTGTCAGAGCGTCTCCCAGCATCACTTCCTGGTGACGGCATCGTGCGTTACAGGGAGGAATGTTCTGGCCGGGGAGCATGTGTCCCCCGCTGAATCGCAGTAAGTACTTGGGAGCCTTACCCAGTGAAGATCCTTGTGCTGTGGAGGCAGCTGCTGAAGCAATTTTTTAAAAAACCTGCATAGCCTATTAGATCTTTAGTGGCCTGTTAGAAGCACTGCTGGGCAAAAGTCCCACCTGGCACTGCCAACTTTCTAAAAGTGCTTGGTGGGTACCAGGAAAGGTGTCAACAGGTGCCATGGAGAGTTTGTATAGCTCCAGCTCAGGTTTTAATCCACCCAAGTTTTCATAGGTCCATTATCATAAGAGATTATTTCAATAAATATGAGGCCAGTTCTTCAATAAAAATGGAACAGACCTCATTCACCAAATCATCAGGCTCTAGATTTTTCCCAGTTCTCACACTTTTTTATTCCTAAATTAATTTCCACATCGATAAACTTTTCTATAAATTGCTAGTGTTCATCTGAGATATGTGGTGTCTTAACTTCGCTACCACCCCGAAATTAGCGGCCAATAACTAGCCTCACTCTTGGGAGGGAGGGGCTGATCCCAGGGGTACAGGCACTGCAGTGCTTCCTCCTGGCCTTCCACCCTGAGGCTGCTGCACCATGCCTGGGGGAACCTTTCCTAGCAACAGCATCAGGGCCGTAGAGGCCCACTGCCAGTCCTTGCTGCTCAGCCCTTGTCCAGGTGAATCTGGAGCCTCGTCACATCCTCTGAGCCAGTCAATGTCTGTGTTCAGATGGGCAGTTCAATCTGCTGTTGCCCTGCCTCTAATTTAGCCAGGTTATTTTGTCATGATCAGACCACACCCCTTGCATTCTTCAAAGCACTTTTATGTGATCAGATGGCAGCAGGCAGGGAGGCAGTTTGCCCTTGGAGCATGCCCACAAGCACTGATCAGCCTGCTGGAATATGTAGTTCATGGGGCTGTCGGCCATTTTTTAAGAAGGTTTGCCCTCTGAGCATACACTCAAGCACTTGCTGAGACTGCTTGGATATGGAGTTCACTGTTGTCCTCCCTCTAATCTTTTCAATTTACCCCTTCCCCCAAGGACAAAAAAATGTTTTCTTTGAGAATTTTTAAAAATAAAACAACGTTTTGAGCAGCCCGTTGGGGTGTGTGAGAGAGAAAGGTTCCTATATGCAGTTATGTGCTCCTCGCTAATTAGTAAAACAAAATGGCGGCTGGAAAACAAGACACCAGTCAGACCTGCCTGATGGCTTGGGTGCACAACAGAGTGATCAGACAACAGGAAGTCCATTTTGGAACCAGCTCAGATCAACAGGACCAGACTTTCTGAGGTATCAAAGAAGCACACAGCAAAGGGGGGTGAGGACTCAAACGACTGCGTCACGACAGACAGATGTTGCTGTCTGATCATGCACTTTAAATCCATAAGGGAACAGCAGCAGCAATGGATGAAACTGCCTGTCTGAACGCAGCCAATATCTATATATCTAATTCCCAAAGGATGGGTTTGTGTGGATACTTATTTCTGCCAACAGAGGGCTCACTCTCCCTCAACAGCTTTTCCCTACATAGTCAGTAGACTTCCTGAGTCTGCATAAAAATCCAAAGAGTAAAAAAATCCCTTCAGGGAGGGTTGAATCCCCCCCAATACCTTTTGAAATGGCCTCTGCAGGGATCTAACTCCAGACATCAACAGTGAGAGATTAGAACGTTCATCAGCAGCCACCCTATGAAAGCCAGTGTGATGTAACAGTTAGAGCTTCAGATTAGGGTCTGTGAGACCCAGGTTCAGATCCCCATCTTGCAGTGCAAGCTGACTGGGTGAGTTTAGACCAGCCACATACTTTCAGCCTAGCCAAACTCACAGGGTTGTTGTGCAGAGAAAAAGGAGGAGAGAATAATGTAAGCTGCTTTGGTCCCCAGTGTGGAGAAAGACTGTAATTTTCCTAGGTAGAGGCTGTGGGGGAGAGGTGCGGATACAAAAAGCTGAAAAGAGAGAGGCAGATAAAGGTAGGTTGGCTGTTGTGTGGGAAGGAAATTGTGTTGCCAACTCCAGGTTGGGAAATTCCTGGACATTTGAGGGGTGGAGCCTGGGGAGGGTGGGATTTGATGAGGGGAGGAACTACAGACCAGTATAATGCCATAGACTCCACCCTCCAAATGATACATGGAGGAGAGAGAGAGAGAAAGGTGGGCCGAAGGGAGAAAGAGTAGGTAGGGGGAGACAGGAGGAAGCAAAGGTGTGAGGAATAGGATGACCATCCTGCAAATTTCTTTCTTGCGGGTCCCCACTTGTGTATTTGCTAAGAGCCAAGCAAGATGTTTGTCAGGTTGTTTCCATAGTTGATCACAGTCTTGCTGCTCTACCTGCATCACTTAATTTTAACCTTTTTCCAGCATATCTAACTCATTTATAACTTTCTCTGCTTTTATTTTTCGAACATGATTATTTTATTTCTCACTTCATTTCACACTTTATTACATTTGTAAAAACATTTACAAAAGCTTAAAAAGCCTCCCAGACCTACTAAAATGAATTTCACCTGTTTCACTGATCTCAAAGTACTGACATATTTCCATTTTCAGCTTTGATGCTACTTTAGCCTATAGTAACAGAGAAGTATTCATCCATTTTAGTTTATAAAATTGATCTTATTTATCTTGAAGTCAACTAAGACAGGTGCACATCTGCAAATATCATTAGGCCTATCCTGGAATCCCTTAACAGGTTTATTGACCTAAACGAGGAAAATCTATAATCCATATGTGACAAAGGCTTCTTAGCATGTGAAAAAATCTATATAGTCTTTCTGATATGGGAAAAAATGTTGACGACATCTCAAGGATAAATTTTCTTCAGCTATGCCAGTAATTTTGGTGAGGACTAAATTACTATGACTTTTCCTCATTTGAAGTGCCCAACTGAGAATCAGATAGAGTGTTCCAGAACACTTATGGTACTCCCACTGATTGTGCTTCCACTCTGGGGGCTGTCATTCCAGGCTCAGAGCAGATCTGTTTTGCATTTTTGTTTGCTGTAATGTAGTTCAACTGAGCCCATGCAAGTTAATTGGCATTCCTAGCTCTTATTATACCTAACCAGCCTTCAGGCATCTTCTTTTGTTCCCAATGGGCATTCTTATTTCTCCTTTTAGTACATCCCTATAACTCATGACCATTACAGCCAAAAACTTTCAGTGGCCTAGGAGTCCCCAGTCTCTCGTCCAGGGCCTCTATAAAGTCCCTGCCCTTAGCGTTGCCCTTCCCCAGCTACACTGCCCGGCTCTTGGCAGGGATACACAGTTCCGCGGGAGAACGGAGAAACCCTAACGTTAACCCGGGCGGGGCAGCAGGCACCTCCTATCGAGCCTCGGAAGGCAGGAAACGGCAAGAGGCAGATCCTCCCTGACCTGCTGCAGTGGTGATTCTGGCTCCACAAAAAAAGGCAACGTTCCTTGCAGTCATTAAGGGGGGAAAAACGGCTTCAACCTTTGCCTCTTATTGCTGGTGCGTGGTAGCGCAGCAGTATAAACCCCGTTCAGTGGGTCTGACGGTTTATTTTCCTGGGATTTCATTTCGGGGAGGGGAAATTGGAGAGACAGGAAAAGAGAAAAGGTCCGCCATATTTCTCCCTTTACCACGCCCGAAGAGCTGAGCCATTGAAATCAGTTTGGCTGCATATTGTCTATGCACCACAGGCTGTGCTTTGCTCTACCCACCCCCGTTCCTTACAGTAAAGGCAAGGCGGAACCGAGAAAGGGAGCGCTCGCTCTCCCTGGTTGTTGCCGCCTTCGAAGACCAAAAAGAGAAAAGCCACCTTCTTTATCCCCAAGCCGGGGAAGTTCATTTCCAATTCCAAGAAGATCTTGAAAGCGGAGCTAGCGCTTTCCCAGAGGCACCAGGAAAGGCCTCCGCTCCCGCCCCCTCCTCCGGTGGAGAATATTGGGCTGCCTTCAGTCCAGGGTGGGGAGAAAAGGGAGCGAAGAAAATGTGTGTGTGGAGCGGGGGAGGGCTCCGTAGGAATTAGCTTTCCGGAGGCGGAGGCGGCGACGGCTCGGTTGAGGAAGCTGGAGGGGGCATTTTAGCGAGTCTTAGGGAAGGCTGTGTCAGTCTGCAGGCGTGGAGGAGGGGAAAGAAGGTGTTTGCACCGGCGCTTCGCTGTCTTTTGGGCAGCGCTGGGGCTGCCGCCTCTCCTCCTCCTGTGGATGTTTCCATGTTGTTTGGTGCATGATTGAGAGCAGCAGAAGAGGAGGAGTTGTAAGCAGCCGTGTCACAGACAGGATTGGGGAGGGGGATTTTGTGGATGTGTCCTCGCGTGCTAGCTCTTCCCGGGCATCTTGCCTAGCGTTGCTGTTGTCCCCGGGAGTGGGGGCTCCTATTTGAGGAGGAGGAGGAGGAGGAGAAGAAGGGCTTTCTTGTATTCGTGGCTTTGTGTGTGTGTGTTGTGTGTTTCGGAGTGGGGGCGGGGGTTGTGCCTGAACCAGTTAGGAAGAATGACTCTGGAGTCCATCATGGCGTGCTGCCTGAGCGAGGAAGCGAAGGAAGCCCGGCGGATCAACGATGAGATTGAGAGGCAGCTCCGCCGGGATAAGCGGGACTCCCGCCGCGAGCTCAAGCTGCTGCTGTTGGGTAAGTCTTGACCGGCGGCGCCCTTCACCCCAACCGCGGGCAGCTGCTCTAGGCGCCCCTCCCCCCCCCGCACACCAAAAGGCTCGGAGGCGTATGTGTGTGCAGCCATCCTCTATGTATGTCGTCCACGGAGAACCACCCTCGTTTTTTGTATTCCCATGCATGATGGAAAGACGCGTGCACGGGTTACACTTCGATTGTGTTGCTCTCCACCGTTATGCACAGTGGGGCAATACACCAGCTAACCGCTGCTGAAGGGAATCAGATCATGGTGGTGGTGGTGGAAGGTGTGTGCGAAGGAGGGAGGAGAAGGCTCAAACTCGAGTCCCCTCCCCCCTTTCCCCTTTCCTTTCTCTTTCCAGTGGGGCTGTGCAAGCTTCATTATGATCTTCGTTACAGTGGGGATGGAGAAAGGCGTCTTGCGCGCCCGGGGACCCTTGCCATATCCGTTTTCTGCATATGACTGCGTGTTTGCCTGAGCAAACAGATATACGTAGCGGAGTGAATGGCTGTTTCTGGTTCCTGTGGGTGGCTTCGTGTGGAGTGGACGCCTGCCGAAAATGGAGAGGAAGGGGAAGGGGGTGGGCGAAAGGGAGGGGGAAGAGAGATCCAGACGGTGATGGATGTCAGATGTGTTTTTGAGGTGGGCAGGCTGCGAGGGAAGAAAACCATAAGGTTGAAGGGAAGAGAGGAGCAGGGGGAGTTGCCTTGTAGGATTGATGGTAATGGGATTCTGTGTCTGCATTACTCTGTGCGCTGTGCCCACCTCAGAGTAAGGAAGGCTTGCGTGCCTGCTGTGTGGGTGTGACTTTCCCCCCTTGGGCAAGTGTTAAGATGCAAGAGGGGAGAATGCCTAGCTCTGCACCCAGTGGCATCTGAAGGCAAATCTGTGCTTGAGGATGAGTCCTTCAGGATCCTCCCACTGGATGTGAAATGTGTCCTACTCTCTTTTAAGGGGTGGCCAGATAGGAATAACCACACCAAAAATTAGGGCTGTCTGGTCTCTCCTGGCCACTGGCAGGGAATTGGGGGGGGTTAGGGTTGCCAAATTCAGGTTGGGAAACTCCTGGAGATTGGAGATGAAGCCTGGGGAGGACAGGGACCTCAGTGGGTTGCAATACCACAGAGTCCACCCGCCAAAGCATCATTTTCTCCAGGGAAACTGAGCTCTGTGGGAGATAAGCTGTAATTCTTGGAGCTCTCCAGGCCCCACCTGGAGGCTGGCATCCCTAGTGAAGATCCACAGTGTTTCTTCAAAAAAGTGCTTTATAGCAGTGTTAAAATAGAGGATGCTATATGTTTGTGGATGTTTTCCATCCCCCCACCTCTGCCAACACTAAGTGTGCTGTACATTTTTTAAAAAACGTGGAAGCCCTGCATTACCATTCTATCTGGTAATGTTTAGGCAAATCCTCCCTGATTCTTATGATAGAAGTTGGTTCTCCGTTCCCTGTTTGCAGTCACTGGTTATCAATTCTACGTTGCAGTTACGAATATTGATATAGTTAAACAGGTATGCAGTCAGGACCACAGCCTCCTCAGCTCAGAAATCCCTGGAAGTAGGAGAAGATGCCCTGCAAGGATCATAGAGTGGTACTCAGTCTGGTGCTTAGTTTTATTGGAATGTGCTCCAGAGTGGAATGTCTCACAGAAATCCTATAGGTTTGCATTGCTAAATAGCTGAAGAATATGTATCTGAGGATGCTGCACCACAAAATCAATGTCAGTCCATATCCACTCAATCCATCCCTGAAATCAGAATATGGCATCTGGCAAAGCAGTGGTGGTGGAAAGTGCTGTCAAGTTGCAGCCAACTTATGGAGCCCTGTAAAGGTTTCAAGGCAAGAGACAGACAGAAGTGGTTTGCCACTGCTGCCTCTGCATGGCATCCCTGGACTTCCTTGATGGTCTCCCATCAGGGCCAACACCGCTTAGCTTCCAAGATCTTATGAGATTGTGGTACTCATCCCAAACTCTGTTTTTTGAACAAAGTGCTCAGTGCTGTGTACCCCCTGCCCCATAATTTGCTAAGTATTTAGAAAATAAGGAACTGAAGCTACTGTACCTCAGAAAAAAGCTTTGAACCATGCCAGGTCATACATGCCCAGAACCTCTGTAAGGTGCTATAGTGTAGGTCCAAATCCTGGTTTTTATGCAAAGCATTCCAAAGCAGGGTGTCTCCAGCAACCCCATTGGATTGCATTCATAACTGGCAGAAGAATAAGCATCTGAGAGTGCTTCACTTCGTTTGGGGTAGTCCAAAAACTCTGCAAAGTAACTAAAGAATAAGGAACTATGGGTTATTGGGCCACAAAATAAGCTTTGTACCACTTCTGATTCCAGAGATACTGAGGTGGTTCAAAATTTATGTTGGGCTACAGAGATTATCATTGTGATTGGGCTGGAGTAAAAGGAACTGGGAATCAACTCAGCATCACCTAACATTGTACTTTACTGCATAGCTTAAATCAAAGGGAAAGGTTGTGCTTAGGAATAACAGGGCCTGAAAAATGTCTGTAAGAAAGATGTGGTGTTATGAAACTGATTACCAGATGTGAAAGAGTCCCTACTTTATTGAACCCCCTATTTGCTTTGCACATAGAATTAATAATACAGTTTATAGCACAACTTACTTTAAAATAAGGTAACTGTGCAGAGAACTACAAACTTACATTTAGTGATTGCATATAATATATGCATCCATTTTTTTCTGTTATTTGTGTGGGCTGAGAACATAAGTAGATGACTACAGTAAAGAAAAGAAAAAAGATCTTTGACTTCTGGTTTAGATGTAGTTGAGTTATACAAGGGAGGTAGATTAGGGCATAAATATGTACAATCTGCTCATTGTTAAAAGCTGATTGAGCTAGACTGTTAAGGGGTTTCAAATACATTGCTACAGTGTTGGGTTTGCATTGCAATGTATGATATTGCTGCATTTACCCCAGCTTTGCTTTATTATGACAATCTTATAAAGTTCCCTCAAATTGTTGAGAAAGTAAATGTATAGATTTGGAAATTTAGCACCTTCCTTTAGTTTCTGTGCACAGACTATTTCGTTTACATGCAAAGGAATTCATTCATAAATAGGAATGTGTGACTGATAACAAGATCAGATCTGTTAACGGTCTTGCGTTAGGTAATGAGTAACAGTTGGATATATAAAGACATATTTTGTGAAATAAGGGATTTTTATTTGTTCAGCTCACTCCATGTAGTAGTGCTATGCTACTAGGCTGCTTCCACATTGGGATTTCCCCCCTCATGAAACACTGGAAGCCCACAGGATGGCCAGTGTGGTGTAGCAGATATAGTGGTGGACTAGGACCCTGGGTGACCCAGGTTTGGATCCCCACTTCTACTGAGGAAGCTGTCTGGGTGACTTTGGGCCTGTCACACACACTCAGCCTGACCTTCCTCACAGGTTGTTGCTGTGAGAAAGTGGAGGAGGAAAGAATGATGTTCTAAAACTGCTCGGAGTCCCAACTGTGGTAAGAAAAAGCAGGATATAAATAAACAAATGCAATGCATGCACATTAAAGTAGAATGTCCCCATAACAGCATGCTCATTCTAAGCATGATTCATGTGCTTCCCAGGGCTTTCCCTTTTCCGACAGATCACAATAAACCTACTTTGGCCGCGGGCACACGGGCAGGAAAATGCGGGGGGGAAGTGTGGCTGTTTGCCCCGGGGCAAAATAACGCGCGGTTGCGCCAGCAGACATACTGTGGAGGTCCTGTGGTGGGGGGAGGTGTCGAGCACACCACAATCCTGCGCCACAGCGAACAAGTGGCGCGGCGCGGCAAACGGGTGTTTTTTTTCCTCCGGACACCAAAGTGTGCGCATGCCCCGTTGGGTGCTCATGCGGATCCCATGGACAGTTGGAAAAAAAACCCCTTTATACGAGGGGGCATGGGCGGGCGCCGGAACTACCACTGGAAACACGATCAGACGCCCGCCCTTGCCCCGCGGTTACCGGAAACTAGTACCTCCGAGGTACTAGTTTTTAACCGCGCATCTTCGGCGGGAAGCCTTGGGTTCGGCACGGGAGCTCTACGCTTCCCAGATGTGGCGGTGAGATTGCACCCGGAAAATCCGCCTATCTTCTGTGTCTCTAGCGTGCCTAATGCTCCGTGTGACCGCAGCCATAGATCTGATTCAAAAGTTGAACTTCGGAGTAGTGGTTGTGAGCAGCATGTGGGGACTGGGCATGTGGATGCTGTTCCCAAACCATTTGCTGCTGTGGTAGGGCCTGTGTAGATGCAGCTATGGTTTATAATATTTTTTCCAGGTTTTAAAACATTTTATTTGCATATTTTAAAAAATTGTGGATTCCAATAATTAACATCATTTGAACAAAAAAAAGGCACTCAGTTAATTGCATTTTACAGCTCGCAGGATCATGGTACAGCTTTGCGTGTATTCATGTGTTACTAGATCCAGGATCTTCTTTCAGGAATCATGCAAGCTCTTTCCTGCTATCAGGACCAAAGCTGAACAGGCAGATGGAAGGGGCAGTGCCTTCATGCAGCATCAGTAGTTCTCTCTCTCTCTCTCTCTCTCTCTCTCTCTATTCTTTTTGTTTTTGGATGTGAAAGGGGCAGTACAGTCATTTAAACATTATCCAACCTCTTTGCATCTTACCAAGTTAAAACAGCTAAAAGAAGTAAAATAAGAAGGCAAGGCTTGTGGAATGTACAGTGCATAATTTGGAAGGGCTGATTTCATTACGATTCACCTGCTTGCTTCTCCTGTTCAATTGTTTCTTTTGAAGGCAGTGGGTTTGCGTTTGTCTTCTTCAACTTAGACTTATCAAATTTCTCGATTTCAGCCACATCTGGTTTGTCAGACATATTTGCTGATTAATCAGTGATGCTTTGCACACACAGACACAAATCCGATCTTTACAGAAGCTGCTCCGGATGGTAGTATAGTACAGAATATTTTCTGTCATCAAGTTGCAGCCAAGTTATGATGGTACTGTAGGGTTTTCAAGGCA